TGCTCCTTATCTAAAATGATGTTGCACCTTGCCCCAACCTTGTTTTTCTGTTAGGAGTTGGGAATGGATGCATGCTTTTCTCTAGATCTTGTGCGATGGTCTGTTGGACCGGTGGGTTTCGACGTTGGTCAACTTGCAGATCAACTTCACGTTTTTGTCCCGGACATTGGTCAGCTTCGGGTCGACTAGCTTACCGATCTCCTCAGGCCGCTCGAGGGACCTGGTAGCCTGCAAGAATGTAGAGATTCTGAGTAAACAGTTGAAAGCTGGCTGCAAATGTAGCGATTCAGAATGAGTAGTTTGAAAGTTGGCTGCAAATTGCAACAACAGAGGAGAAGTAGGTCAACCAGGCAGGCAGGCAGGCAGACATTTCTGGTCTGGCAACAGGAGACTGTCTAAATTCCAAAGCCTTGTTCAAACTTCAAACCCAGGCGCATGGAACATGATGGCAGAACGCCGTGCGGAAACGCATAGAATAGAAAGAGAGATGCTACACTTACAGGCAACTTTCAACGTGTTTAAACTTACGGACTGAAATGAAATCATCTGATTGGGAGGAGGAGGGCCCCATCTCCGAAATTCAGGGGGGAGGGATGAATTAGGCGCTGGCACATATGTCCGTACGACAGTTTCCGTAATCATCATCCGTAAGTGAAGCAATTTCGGAATAGAAATGAAAGCCAGGCTTGCCACTTGTGTGCATCATAAGTGCATTTTCATCAGATACATGGCCATGATCATCATCATTCGCAGCGGATCGGCACTCCCATCCCATGTCCTCTGCGGAAAAACGCATGGGCCTCGAGTCATCTGCAAGCAAGCAAAACTGTCTCCAAGATGCAGGCTGCCCCCTTTCTTTCTTTTCTCTCTTTTTTTTTTCTTTCTGCCAAGAGAGTGTGCTTGTTTTATTGGGCTAGCAGGGGAGAACCCCATGCATCTTCCTTTTTCGGCAGTAGAAATGTGTAGGTAGTTTTCTTGGAGGGGGCAAGTGGTGGCCCTTGTCCCTGTTACAAGTTGATGGCACACCAACTAGAGATCTGAGTGCAAGTGTTTCCAGCTGAATCAGGCCAAGTGTACTTACTAGTCATACACAGATCCTACTTAATTTGTTTTCTTTCTACAACTGGCATAAGAGATTATTGCCAAAGCCTATTTTATTCTTAGCTTGAAGATGATGGCACACCAACTAGAGATCTCAATGGTCTTAGTGGTACGTGTCTCCAGCTGAGAACAGGGCAGTAGCACTTACCAGTCATGTCACAGATCCTACTTACTGTTTTTCCTTCAACTGCCAGAGTAGATTATTAGTATCAGTTTATCCAAAAAATAAAGATTGTGCATCCTTCTTCTTGGCAAACCCTATTTTATTCTTCTTGGCAAAGCCTATTTTATCCTTAGCTAGATGATGATGGCAGGCACCCCACACCAACTAAACATCTCAGTGATAGTACTGGCCAGGAAAAAAAATAGTTGTGATCAATGGTAGCACTCATGCCACAAGCAAGCAGGTCTTCAAGGATTCAAGGCAGGCATGTGCTCCCTGGTCTTTCTGGTCTCCCTGCTGCCTCCTCCGCCCACCTTTCCCTCTCTGATGTTGCCGCCTTTTAATTCTCTTCAGCAAAATCATCATCAGCAGGTGGCCCCATCCATGGCTACAGCAGCCATGGCCAACCTCTTATCCTTCTTCTCCTCCAAATAATGTAGTAACAAATTTCTATATTAAAAAGATGTGATGGTTTCAGGCTGAGGCAGCCATGATCCCAACACCTGTTGCTTCTGCTAAGCATGATTGCTTGATTAGATTGCACTATCATTAGCAGAAAGTGTTGTTATTAGAGGACAAAAGCACGGTACTTAGCAATGATCTATCCAGGAAGCAAGCAGATGCTACACATGCTAGTGGCCTTTTGATGACGCGATGCTTTTGTAAAAGTTGTAGCTGGTAGGTAGTTAATGGGAAAGGAAGATGAGGCGGTGTCATGATTTGATTAATAAATAAACAAAGGAAAGAAGAAGGCGGCTTTTTTAAAATGATGCCTTGTCACTTGTGTTGGAACGATAATGCATGCGCGCACCAGGTTCCCGGCATATCAGACAACATGCATAGATTCTGCAGAAACAAACTGGATTATCTCCGGTTAACAGTAGCCTGAAACCAGGCGTATAATTCAGTTTTTGTCTGGTTTGTTTAGAGGCAAACTGAACAAACTCAGCAACTTATACATGCTGACATCTTTTGTTGTCTTTCAACAGTGGCAAATCTCTCAATGTAAATTAACATAAAGTGAAGATTGAAAAGTGTACCTTTCTAACTCTCTCTATCTTGTTGTCTTTCAACAGACAACACGCATAGATTCTGCAGAAACAAACTGGATTATTGTTAAAAACTGTCTCCCCAAACCAGGCTTATAATTCAGTTTTTGTCTGGTTTGTTCTTCATAGGCAAACTGGACAAACTCTTCCACAACTTGTAAATGCTCACCAATTTTTTCCTGTCTTTCAACATTGGCAACTTTCTCATGTAAATTAACATAAAGAGAGGATCAAAAAGTGTACCTTTCTTTGACTTTGTATCTTCTGACAGTATGTGTGTGAGCTGTGAAGCAGCAGGCAACCAGTGGTGTACTGGTGTGAGTCTGAAGCGAGTACAGCCAGCTTCCTTTCCTTTGAGGAGATCCTCCTAAGCAAGGACACCAAAGTCCCTCTACTCAATACTCACTACTCACTTGCACCATACCCACAATGGCCAACTGGCACTAAGGACTGCTTGCTCTGCCTTGCAACTGAAGCCTATCCAATATCCAGACAAACATAAGCAAAAAACAGACAAAAATCTCAAGATCTACTGCAACTTTTTCTTCCTTGCAGTTTTTGTCCAGCTCCTAGTAGCTAGGAAGGAAAAAGAAATTGCTGGAAGAACAGTGTGCGATGGAGTACTGGAGTCAGAATCAATCAGAGCACCTTGGCCTGATGTGTTTGGTACTACTAGTTACTAGACCTAGATTTCATGATGTAATGACAAGAGTACTATGCTCTAGACTACACTCTTGGCCTGATGTGTTGTCGACTGGGGTGTGAGGACAGGGGTGGTGAGGTGAGTTTGGTGTGGAGTATTATGTGAGAGGCAGGGCCATCAACCACTCCCCACTTAATGATAGTAGCTACTTAGAGCATTGCTCATGGACATCACATATATGCGTCTATTAATATCTGCACATTTTTGTTTCAATTCTGCACGTTGTTGTTTTTCAGCAATCAGAAGTTGTGGAGGAAGCAAAGTACTAGTATGCTACAGCTAAAACAAGATTCATTTTTTGGCAGCACTACGTACTAAACCAAGATGGTTTTAATCATTTGTTAGCTCATAGTATCCCCCAGATTTCCTCGCTTCTACAGTCTAAACTGATAGATCGGTGATGGTGAAACTATCCTATAGTCTAATAAAGGGCTATACAGTCGGTAAAAAAGGTGATTTTATTTATTCATCCAAAACAGGTCTTGTTTGGAAGCAGCTGCTACTATTAGCCATTCTTTCATTTACTTTAATGAGAACAGTTAGCCCGTACCGTACTGCGAAAGCACTGAACTCACTGATCAATCTGGACGGGCAAGTTGCAACTACATTGAGATCTGCCTCAAGAAAAAATAAAGATCATTCATGGAACTGCTTGAGGTAGTGCGTACCTGGTTATTACCCTTGTGACCACTTCCACAGAGATTTTGTGACAAACCGTGCCAGTTTTCGCGGCGAGGTTTGGCAGCAAGTCCTGTGAATCATTGCATGATCTTGGATGTATAGTGCTAACAATAGTGTGCCTGCAATATGTCCGCAAAGAAGCTACTCTAAGCTTGATAAATTCTGATGATATGCAAACAGACATATTGAGATAATTCAAAGTGGTGAGACACAGGATTCTATAGGTTCTCCCATTTGGACTTGGACCGCTAGGAATCCCCCAATTCGGTTGTAAATCTAGGGACAAAGCAGGGGAGTTTGAATTGTCGCCCAACATCCTGCGCCCCGGGTAGCGTTGCGCCGAGAAGCGGAAGCAGTGTCAGGCAATATGGTCGCTTGTCAAAGATGAATGGACACGCAGATTTACTTCAGCGAGACAATCGTGTACCATATGTATTCATTAAAAACAGTAAAGAAAATCACTCCCAGCAACCATCTACTGCAAATCATCAAACATATCTCTTGAGAGTTGAGAGTTGAGACGAACAGAAAACACAGCCATTCCTTCATACCCAAACGACCAGCACAATCTTATCAAATTCAGGCATGCTCACGTCATTTATTTTTACCTTTTTTGCGAATCAGGCTTGCTCACAGCATAACTGGAAATTACCACAAACTTCAGGAAATGTATAAATTCGGCGTTCATCATTCCACACTATTACAAACCATAGGGAACTAGTCAATTCAGGGTTCAGCACTGCAAGATATTACAATACAGGAAACTATTGTTCGTCGTCCCATATTTTAAAAATCCATGCGCAATACATAATTTCAGCACTTAACATTCAACGATTTCGCAAACAATAGGAAACGAGTAGTTTCACTGTTCATCGACTTCGGACATGGCATTCTGCACCGTTCTTGCTGTATGACAGGATCGGTAGACAGCACCCTTCAGTCCCAGGTAACCCGGTATCAAAGAACCAAGCAGATGCGCCCAGACGTCCCACGTGTTCAGAATTCAGATGCTGGAAACATTGTCATCAAACTGTACAGCTGGTTTTTTGGCAGGTTAAGCCAAGGAATTTAAGATGCATAAGCAGAACTAGTAATGGCTCGTACTTATGGAACCTACATAGCGAAATTTTCCAGAATACACAATAGGAAAAGTAAGCATCATGGGGATCTATATGGTGTACCCAATCACTCATGCAGTTACTTGGTCCAATTTTTTTTCTTCTGAATGTGCTGAATCTTTTGCCAGTTTGGATCTCCAATTGTTTCACACGATCTCGTGAGCACCTCATTGCAGCGCTCGAGTTCAAACTTCAAACTCCTCAAGGGACCGGAGCAGTTCTGGAGGCGACTGGATATTCGGGCAATCAACAGTGGACAGTTTCGTGAGGGCCTGGGGCAGCACTGGAAGAGACTGAATATTCGGGCAGTAATCGATGGACAATTCCTCAAGCAACTGGGGCAGTACTGGAAGAGACCGAATATTCTTACAATATTTGATGGACAGTTTCTTGAGTGAGTGGGGCAGGGCTGGAAGAGACTGGATATTCTGACATAATTCCATGGACAGTTCCACGAGTGATTTCAGGCGCACCATGTTATCTGGTAAGGCCACCCAGATGCATGCCGAAAGAGATAGGAAACGGAGTAGAGTGAAGACCTCAAAAACGGGAGCAGGCCCTAAGCTGCATTTCCAGAGCTTAAGTACTTGCAGGCACTTTAAGCCACCGTTCTGCCTACCCACCATCCAATTAGGGTATCTCGCTCCATTGTACCCGCCGAGTTCCAGTTTTTCAAGATCCTTCGGAGGGCATAGACCCTCAAGTACCTCTACTTCAACTTCTGGATTGCAGCTCTCCTGATCACAATCCCAGCATAGTTCTAGCTCGGTGAGTCGCTCCTTATCAGCTAGCTTGGCTTCAAGAGCTTCCTCACTGCCTTTAACATTTTCAACACCTCTAATGCGCAGACGGCCACAAAGCTGGTTTAGATCCCTCAGATGTTTTATATTGCAACCTCTTTCCTTACTTACTGTGAAGTATGGTCCTAACTCTTGGAGTGATGTCGACCTGGCAATGTTCACCAACTTCAAAATGCTGGCATTCCCTACATGCCGCAAGCTAACCAAATTAATCCCAACTTCATCTTTGGAGAGCGAAAGACGTTTGCAATTACCAAAATCAAGTGTCTGAATGTGGTGAAGTTTTTTAAAGGTCCTTGGTAAAATTAGACCATGTGATTTGCCGATCCTGTAAGTAAGGTGACATATATGCTTGACACCAATAGGTTCTAAGAAATTGACATGCCAAGTCAAACCAAAAGTCACATTCAGTACCCGCAATTTTTGCAGCCTCATGATTATATTCTTGAAAACTTCTTCATCACGTGGTGTCCATAATTTGATAACTTTAATGATGAGAGTGCGTAAATTTTCCAGTTGAAAAATCTTCATGGCAAGCTTCTCCCCATTATAAGTATCAATAAAAAGATGGCGAACACCTGGAGGAATTTCTCCTGTCCACCCATCCTCAATTCTAAAGCAATCGTGTCCAGCGATCCTCTCTGCTAAATCGTACATCAGATCATGCATTAAATAGTAGTCCTCACCGCAGGACTCCTTTCCCCCATATTGCAGAAATGAGATTGACACAAGTTCATCAAAGTAATCCTGACCAACATCTTCCATTTCCTTACCTGCATTAGTACTTCTTATAAACCCTTCTGCCACCCACAACTTAAGTAACACATTAGGTCTGAAATGATGCCCTCTGGGGAACATACTACAGTAAGCAAAGCATTGTCTAATCTGCTCATTAAGATGCTGGTAGCTCCATGATAGAGCTCCCATCGTCTCGTTCAGTAAGTCCCGATCTCTAGCTCTTCTCCAAAACTCAACATTTTTTCTTTTACGTAGTTGTCCTCCCACTGTACTGGCTGCTAGAGGTGACCTCTTCAGCTTTTCTGCAATGTGGGCCCCAATATTCCAGAGTGTGCTCCCAGCTCCATTGTTTGCATTCCCATCTCCAAGTGCATAATACATGAATAGCTCAAGGAAAATACTATCATCCAAGTCACTAATTGGAAAATTGGCACATCCCACATCAGGACCAAGATCCGAGAAGGCATCTACATTTCGACTTGTCGCTAGGATCTTGCTTCCTCTCTTTCCAATCTTGAATGGAGAAAGTAATTGTGGCAGATTCTGCTCGCCAACATCCTTGTTGCACCAGACATCATCTAGTACCAAGAAAAACCTTTTGCTAGTCAGGATATCCTTCAGTTCTTGTTGTAGCCTATCAAGACTATTAAGTTCACAATCATATCCTTCAATTGCCTCAAACATTCGCCTGTAAATGGCCTCGATGCTAGGTTTTTGAGAGACATGAACCCATAATAGAATGTCAAAATGGCCATCTTTTTCGGCTAGCTTGTCTTTTTCTTCCTGGGCAAAAACAAACTGTGCAAGGGTTGATTTCCCAGATCCAGCTATGCCATGAATTCCAACAACAGAATAACATAGACTGCTATTCATGTTTGTCTTACCATGACTGGCATTCTCATGAAGCATTTCTATGATCTTGTCACGATCCTCATCTCGACCAATTACCTTTACTGGGGAAGTTGCAGTGGTACATGCATTGGCTGCACTAGGCTGTCCCTTATTTACAGTGGGCAAGTTCAGCCATTCCAAAATTTGGTGTGCTTCATTTATAACCTTTTCTATTTTCTCTAGGCTCCGTTTTAATTGCTTTTTGGACATACCAGTCTCCTGCAAAACAAAATCACAGGCAAGGATCCACGCTTAATAACGGAAATAGGTAGTGCTAACACATTTTGGGGGAAATCTCTGGCATCCCGCCAACATATCCGCAAGCTAAAAGCTGAGTGCCACTTGCCTCGGTCAGCTGTGCCAACGCTCATTTTTATCCATTTTGTCCTTCCTTGTATGCTTTAAGCCTCTGACTAGTACTCTCGCTTGTCACAGATTAAGTGGATTTTCCAAAAAGCTGTAATGCATCAAAAGAGGAAAGAACCTGATTTTTCTAAGATTTGATAGCCCGACCTAAGTGTCACTAACAACTCAACACGTAGTTATACTTCAGTGGGAGAAGTGGTTCAGTAAAAGAACAAGTTTGGAACATTTTATACACGATAAGTTTTGAGCGCGAGAGAGAAATCTGAAAACAGAAAAGCTTGAGGATGGCAAACGACCTTATTTGTTAGGGGGGAGACGGCCAGGGACTGGACCTTGTGCTTCAGCAAATCCATGGTACTTGGAGGCCCGTCTGAGGTGAGCTCGTAATCTTGGACCTCCTTCTTGAGGCGATGATACTCAACATCATCCAAGATGTCTTCAGCTTCGTAGAAAGCAGTCTTGAGGTCCTCGAACAGCTGCTGGAGACGAACCCTGTGAGGGCTCTCCGCCACCATCTCCATCACCCGCTCCAGCAGCAAAATCTTCGGCTCAAGTTGTCTCAGCTTCTCCGATGCGTTGAAGCCGAGAAAGGAGGAGCTTTTCCTGAAAAGGTCGGAGATGACGGGCGAGGCGACCCAGCCTACGGCTTTCAGGCCCCATCCTATGGCAGCAGCAGCAGCAGTCACCGGATCCGCCATTAGAGGCTGCTGCAAGTTGCTGCACCATTAGCTGAATAGCGGTCACTAATAATACGCATGGAAATGAAAGCTTACACTGGGGTGGATCTACAGAGTCAAATCCGGTGGTAGATTACCAAGGCCGGAAGCGGTGAGGGTCAAAACCGGCGGCCGAAGCAGGTCGGGGGAGACACTCGGCTGATGGGGGCTCGATTCCGTGGGAGGAGGAGGTAGGGGACGGCGCTCAAGGACTGGAGGAGGTTGCTGGAGTCGGTGTGCCTCGATTTCTGGCGGCGGCGGCGGTGCCGGAGACGATGGGGTGCATTGCGGCCAAAAGTGTGACACATGTGTGGCCTTGGAAATGTTATCCCAGATTCAGTATTGATGGGTTTTTTCTTTTCTCAAATTTTTTTTGAGGCAATTTTCTTTTCTCAAATGATAAGTGTCGTGTGGCATACCTGGCCATCCGTTGGGCCGGGCCGGGCCTAACCAAGCCCGAGGCAGAAAACCTACGCCTGGGCCCGGCCCAGCTCGGTCATCGGGCCTGGTTTTCAGGCCCAAACCCAGCCCGTCAGAGAAAAAGCCGCTGGGCCTCAGGCCAGGCCCTTTCTTTAAAACACCAAATACCAAGCCTAGGCCCGCCCCAATATGTGCTTCGGGCTCAAAACTCAGGCCCAAGCCCGGGCCGGGTCAGCCGGGCCAGGTATCCTGTGGCCACCTATATGTAGCATGAGGTAAGACCATTTTGATGGTTTTTACACTAAAATTGCCATAAAAAACAAACCTAAAAAATCTAAAACTTGATATCCAAACAAAAAGTTATCATTGTTCACAACTAAAATTGTCATTCTCGGATAACTAAACTTGCCATAAAAAACGTCATAACGGAATTACTTTCTGGTCTTTTTTTAGGATAGTATTAATGTTTTCTTAGATCCGTCAATTTAACATCAAATATCTAGTGAATCGTGCACTTAAATTACATATCTTTTTAGCATTGCATCCAAGATTTTTAAAATTAGTTCACACGTTGATAAGTTTTGACGAACGTTTTTTCAGACAAAAGTTATGCTTCGGAAGTGAACTAATATGTGCTCGCAGACTGTAGATTTCACATAGATAAAACAAAATTGTGCTCCCACAACAAAGCAGAAATCCTTCACAAGGTGTAACATTCCAACATTTTAATTTTTGGAATGTTATATTAAATAAATATTATTGATTTCTTGTTTGATTGTTGAGTGATTGATTGTGTGAAATTGAGTGAAAATTTGAAACTTTTGGAAATTGAATGAGAGACAATAAAAGAGCTTTCCCAAAACTTTCATTTTTTCATTTGATCTCCATGAATTCAAATTCAATTCAACCACAAAACCCTAGAGTGAAGATGACATGACTTCTTCCATCAAAGAAATGAAATTGGGTTTTTGAAAAGATTTGGATTCCATTTGAAAATATTTCAAATCCAGAAACTTTATGCAACTCAATGAGTTTCATGAGAGAAGATAAAATGACTTCTTCAAATTATAAGAAAGAGAGTTGGAAGTTTAAAGAACGTATTTGAAAGCCCTTTAGTTCCTTTTGAAAAATTCACTTTTTTTAGTTGAAATGGAGTTTTGAAGTTCAAATCCTCTAGAAACTTATTCAAAAGAGAGAAGGAATGTGACCCTTCAAATTTGCAGAAACAATTGAAATATATTTTAATAAGGGAAAACAGAAAAGATTTGAAAGTGGTCTGAAATTCAAATTCAAACCCAATTATGAGTTATTTGGTTTTATTAAAATTCATTTTTTCTGATAAATAAAAATACTGAAATGAGGTAAAATGATTCCTTCCAAGAAATAACTAGAATAAAATAAACTTGAAATTATTTTGGTATTTTAAAAATAACTTTTTTGGCTTTAAATGCAACAATACAACTGTTTGCATCATATGAATTATTGTGAAGCTTATTTGAACTTAAAAAATTGTTCATATTATTCTCTGTATTTTCTGAAAATTTTGTTATATTATAGGCCTACATAGCAGTTTTATTACATTTGTTTATTTTGATTTTCTTTTCTTTTCTGTGTTTATATATAAAAAAAGAAACAGGAAATGCTATTCATATGTACACTGTTCATCCTTGCGACCCGCTACTATTCCTCACACACGTGTGTATCATAGCAGCATTAGCTCAACCCAATTGCAGTACGCTTACATTTTTTTTCCTTTTAAGTTTTTTCCCTCTAACACATACTGTACACAGAAAGAACATCTCATATTGAATGTGATACCTCATAGATGGCTATTAAGACTTCCTTTTGGCAAATATTCCAAGCAAATCAACCTTTCCGCCTGCTCTGCAAAAACATATTTCCCATTGTACTCTAGACATACATTCTGTATTTCATAGCAGTAGCCTACACATCACACTGTATTGGGGTGCTTAAGCGTCATAAGATGATAAACTTCATCCTCAAACTGCTCCTGCAGGCCTGGCATTAATGTTGATACAATCTTCTTCACAGCAATCATGTTCCCATTTTGCTGCACTCCCTGGTTAAAGTTGATGTCCTATTAATTACTATGCAAGGACATGAGGTTTTGGGAACTAGTATAGTTAAATATATTTGAAAGGCGCACAAAGATAAATTTCAAACAATAGAAAAGATATGCTATAATTTTACCTTATATACTACGCCAGCACCACCTTGGCCAAGTATTCGCTCACGAGAGAAGTTATTTGTGATCTCTTTCAAATATTGTAGTGGCACACTGCACGGTTTTGAACTCTGATCTTGTAATATGCTTTCTAGGCTATTCAAACTACTACCTATCGGTTCAAAAGGGTGTGAAGCGATGATGTATACTCTGAGAACCAATGTCCCTTTCGCATGCGACCGCATCCGGCGCTTCTTGAGCACATGATGCATGAAAACGGCGTAATGGGCGGGCACCAATGAGGTCCCGTTGATTCTGACCTTCCCGAGGTCGAACTCGAAGGACCTAGAGCCGTCGTTAGATTTTCCGACATTGTAAACGTATGTATCAAGAGCTAGCTTAGAGCATCTTCAGCCGTTGGCCTTCTAGGAAAGGCTAAAAATCGCCCCCTGGAGGTGCACCAGCGCTAAATCGCGCACTGCGGGCGTGATGCCCCCCAGTCGCGGCGCCCACGTTTTAAAAAAAAAAGTCAAATACGGCACAAACACGGCTCAAATTTAACGCAAATATCGGCGAGTTCGTTCAAATTTAAACATATTTTACAAAAAAAAACTAGCACGGGCTGCCCCCGCCGTCTCCATCGCCGCTCCTCGCCGTCTATCTCGCCGTCTACCTCGCCGCCCGCCGCCCGCCTTTGCAGTTCTACATGCCGAGGAGGCGGTAGAACCGCATGTAGTCGCCACCGTCGTTGTCGTCGTCGTCTCCGCCGCCGCCGTCCCTGCTGCATCTCTCCCCCGGTTGGCGCGGCGGGTCGGACGGTCCGGGGGCGTCGTCGTCGTCGTCGTTGTCGAGGACCACGATGCCGTGGTCGTCCTCGCGCCCACGCTTGCGGGCGGCGATCTCCTCCAGGGCCCGGCGCTCCCGGACCATCTCGTCGCGGAGGTAGTCGTCCCGCGCCCACCGCAGGGCGTCCTGATCGGAGAAGCCGCGCCGGGTTATCTCCTCGTACTCCACGGGGACGCCGGGCTCCGGCTTGGGCTCGA